TTTGAATTGATAAGAATGATTACATTACTTTCCAGAAAATGACTTTGCATGTGTCATATTTCTTTCTACTCAAATAACTACTTATTTTGCATGCGTAATAAAAAAATGGGCAAATTAAAAATTGACAGAATATATGGAATGTACAGAGGTAGAGAATAAATACAGACAATTATATACAATAATAAAATAAAACAATAATTACAATGTGAAGACTCGTTATGAAAGTAATAATTTTGATAACTATTAAAATGCAAATGTATTTTTAATAACTATTAATGACATTTGCATTTTACCAAAATAACAAGACATTTGAATTAAATAATATAAAATAATAACAAAATATTTTTTTATATTATTTAATGTCTTTTTTTACATATATTATTTTGTTAAAATGCAAATACCTTAATAATAATAACAAAAGTCCGCATTGATAGTTATTGAAATTATTAAGACATTTGCGTTAAACAAACCACGACAAAAAGCATTACTAACATAAACAAAATAATAATTTCAGGACCAATTTCTGATTGATTTTCAGCTTAATTATCTGCAAATCCTGATTACTTCTTGACACATTTCTGATATCCACTTTCAATTCTCAATACTGAGAATAAACTTGTCAATACTGAATATCTTAGCCAAAGTAAATTGACACTTCCATCTACACCAAAAAAATGAGATCAATGAAAAAACAATAATTTCTCTGACGTCAAACTACAAATGATATATTTATTCAGCTGTTAAGGCAATTCATCCCACTAAATGGTAATTATTATAAATTTAAGTTCGAAACTGATAAAAGCAAGTTTGTGTAGCATAAATTGATTTGAAAAAACAACAAATCCAGCACAAAAATATTGTAATAGATCTGTACAAATACTAACAGAAAAAAAATTAGATGCATTAAAAGCAGATTGCCAGCATATTATGATGTGTGCTCAGTACTAGTACTACTTTTCCTTTGCATACATCATTTATCTAATCTAAACTACCTATCTATCTACTTATTTATCTATCTATCTATCTATCTATCTACGTCTCCATCCACCCATTTTACTATCGTTCTTCTGTTACTAACTAAGGCCAAGATCATTATTTCAATCTCCTTAAAAATCGTGGCAGCAAAGACATCAAAAACAAGATCCCAACGGCGTTTATCTCATGCAAATAAATATTAATGCACATACTGCAGAGTACCATCAAAGCAAGAAGTTCTTCGCAGTGTTTCTGCACGCACAACCCTATTAATATGGTAAAATCTTAAATATTTCCTGAACAATTCTATAAAGTTAATTACCCAACTGCATATGTAAAAATTTATACATTGACGTAGAAACCCCTGCATTTTTTCCATGACGATTTAACACAAAAATATTTGATGACTACAAGATATCCCATACTCCCAGATTCTTCTTTCCCCACTTATTTCTGAACATTCACATAATTTACGCAATCATTCCATCACGTTTGGCAAAGCAATCTGCTTTCTGAGATTTTCGATATTTACAGTGAAGCACTTCATTTAATGTTAGCCCAAAGAATACCTCTATTCCACTTGACTGAACTTTAAACTCATTATAAAGAACCAGAATCAAACAACACCAGTAATATTTTACAGTTCATATGCAGTCTCTTCATTTAAGTTAATAAAATTCATATATTTTGATTCATAATAAATACAAAGCGAAAATCGAAATTCATCTCAATTTCCCTTTAAAAACCAATAGTTTTTACTGATTTTTTTTTGTGCTAATTCCACACTTTCCCTAACTTACAACTGATATCGCGCATTGAGAGATGAAATTTCAGACATTTTTAGAATCCTTTCGACATACATAACATCAACGGGTATTGACAATCAACAAGCAGAGCAAAAACTGCTTTATAAAAACAAAAAATTAGAAAGAAACAAAGTGCTAACTACACAAACAAATTTTTAGTAAAATAACAGACATTTACGAAGTTTAAATCATCTTAAAATGCATTCTTTATATCAAATAAAAACTCACTTTTCCCTTACAATATACAGAGAATTAAAAAAAAGAGCGTATATGCAAACTGATTAAGCAGTAACGATTAAAACACTGCTCACCAAAACTATTCCAAGAAAACGAGGATCAAATTTTTCTTCAATTGATACAAAGCGGAGGAATTCCTTATTTATTTAAGGATGATATTTTTAATGGTTCGTTAATTGATAACTTCTTAAAAGCACACATAATACAACAAATTAAAAAAAAAGAGCCTATAGCTTGAATTTTATTCGCATATTTAGAGCTTGTCATTTGATTAAGAAAAACACACCTCACTCAATGGAATAATTAAGCGCATAATGGATTCAATGTAAACAATCGTTAAATATTCATTGAAACAATGAAGAGTATCAAGTCCTTCTCATAATTGCATTTCTTTATCTTACACCAACAGTTAGAAAATCAGTTTTCTCCAGAACTCTGCAGCTTCACTGAAATGACTACAGTTTGATATTTGAATGCTTTCAAAATTCAATGCAAAATAAACTGAAATGTTTATATAAGGAACACATGCTTTTATTTGCTGATAGCAAAAATTCCCTTGTACCAAAATTTAAAAACCACTAAAAAAAGCTTAGTATAAAAAATGATCAAAAGTATTCATAATTTTGGTCATTATATAATTTCAAATAACTGACAAAAAATGAAACCCAGAAAGTTATTTCAAAGAAAATAAAATGAAACTCCGAGACTGGAACCTGGAGATTTTGTTTTTCATGCTCCAACTGCCTTTCTGCTAACTCAGAAAACCGTATTTTCCATTTTTTATCTAGGTTTTTAGCATGTGTACTGCAAATACCATCCTGCAAGGAATCAACAGTGGGTACTAAATCGCCAAAGAAACTTGAAAGATAGTCGAAAGCATACGAGCAACCAGCACTATCAGCCGATAACTGCAGAGCCATATCAATCAAGGCAGGTACGAAATTAGAATTCACTACATCTGTAAAAATGATATTTATAGCCATTTTTTCTCAAGTATATTTGGATCAGTAGACCAATTATTATCAACAATATTAAATCAGAAACAGGATCAACTTGATAGCCTAAAGTTAATACCTTCCTAAGAAGTTAATTACTGCTATAAAAAAAGATACTATTCAAATTTAAATTAGGAAAATTAGGCCGTAAACTAAAAACATTAAAAGCAAATGCAAAAAATACTTAGTTTACATTAATAAAAACTAACTCTTTATGAGTGTAAAAAATTATTACGGTGTAAAAATTATTTCAAATACAATCAGATTTATTATTCAGAGTTTATTCCACAATCGAAATCAAACTGCTTATACATTTAAAAAGAATATTACTCATTTTCATTCCATGGTCCATCTTAATTCTGAAGGATGTAATTAAATTTTAATAAGTGAGAAATGAATTTAGGAACCTTGATAATCACTTTATTAATACTATTGCTAGACAAATATTTTTAGACAATCGAAAAAGATTGAAACAAAAGAAAATTTGCACTATATGATTTTATATGTAAAATGTAAGATAACCATTATATAAAATAACCTGTGTATAAACGCATCATAAAGAAATTTTTAGAATAAAATTATCATTTCAAGTAGCACAAAATAGAACAAAAAAACTAACCTTCTCCAAGACTGCTTGCTATGCTGGTAGTGACCAATAATGCCTTGTTAGCCAGCTTTAAGTCGTGTTTTTTTATTGCCCGGTAAAAACCATTCACAATCTTTTCTAGACCTTTTAGCCCACAAAACTGGCTGAAAGTTATAAGCGGTCTCTTTTTTCATCTCATACGCTTTTATGAATGGATGAAAACCAAGCTTAAAGAGTTACTGCATCAGTTTACTGTTATTTCTTAATAGATAAAAATGATAAAGCGTAGGGTATTCTAGAAATGACAAAAATGTACTCTTAACACTAACTTGAAGGTTTTTTCATGACCTCGAATAAGTGATGATAAGGCACTTAATACCTTCATCTCTAATTCCTGTAAGCATACAAAAATAATCAAAAATGAAGACGAACATTAGAATATTTATAATACAATGAAAAATTTGCATTAAAGACATAACGAAATCTCACTGAGGCTTTGAAAGTTGAAGACAATAATGAATGAGCTTCTTTTTTGGCAAAGTGAAGAATTAAAAACGGATTTACAAACCTCAGAAGCGCTATCATCTTCAAGAACATCAAGCAAATATGGCAACAAATCTATTTCAAACATGAGGTTTTGAACATACGGATTGTTTTCTGCCAACAACGGAATCACTCGCGCTATTTCTGTTCGTACAGCTTCACAATCCTCCTTCTATTAAAAAAATAAACATAAATAGTTATGATAAAATCCTAAAAAATGAAGAAATGAATTTTCGCGATAATTTAAAAAAAAATTCAACAATTACGAAAAATTTCGCATATCTAAAGAACAAATAAAAGAAAAGCCAACAATGAAATTTTCAAAGCAATACAGATGAAAAAGTAATTAAAAATAATTAATAAACTTTCCGGAAACAAAAAGCTGCGAGAAGACTAATGATTTATAAAGATTACCAAAATCCTAATCACTTCAGTGAGCCCGCCCAATTTGCAGAAATCTCTAGCAAAGTCAATATCACAAAGTAAATCTTCTGCTTCATCAATGATTCGTCTGACATCTTCTGCATCCTCTTCGCTTGGATTTTCGATTAGTTTCAACATGTTAATATATTTTGACATATGCCTGACTGGATCTGTCGCACGTGCCGCTTCAGCCATTGCATTTTCGACAAATTTACGATCCTCAAAGTTTAAAAAATGAATTTCAAAATCCCTAATGAGTGATAAAAACCATTATGTTTTCAACATACTTCACGTGATTTCCACAATTGATGTTTATGAAACTTACACGATATGAAACTACCAAAAGAAACAAAAATAAATTACTTCTTTTGACATGGGCTGCTTTGCTCCATTTCGAACACCATTATTTGATGATTGTGCCAAACAAAGAAGCTTACCCCAGCACTGAGCTGGAACGGCGTTTGGATCACTCATTCTAAAAACATTAAGGCATGAAAATGAATAAAAAAGAGAACATCGATTACTTTGCTCTGATCAAGTATGAACAATACGCAATAACTATATCAGTTTTTCATGAAAAAAATTAATTAGCCTTCAGAATGCTTAAATTTGGAAATCATTTCACATCTCTTTATGAGATATCCACTCACACTTTGTTGAGCAGTTTTCTTTGCCATGAATACGTAAAAATAATTTCACACCAATTTCTTTATTACCAATATGACTTCTGACTAGAAGCTGAAAAGAAATTTAGTATCAAAATGAATCTAACCCGAATATTTGGATGCACTCTATTCTATAACTTGTTCTTTGTTCTCTTTTCTCCTCATATTACAATTTCTCTAGTAACTTTTTTTATCTTTTTCCTTTTTTATCTGGCACTTGGCAATTTTTCTGGTCTCCTCTGTTGATGTCAAACCTAGAAGTCCATCCACGATAGTATTTCTTCATTGTCTCCACAGGTGAGAATGCAACTTTCAATTACATTTTATTATTAAATAAGTTTTCGTTAGAAGCTTAATTTGTTATTTTAATGACCAGATATCATATTATTCTAATTTGCAATAATATCAGCAATAATGTTGATTGTTGTAATTTTTAATACATTGACTTCAGTAATGACCAAATATCAGATTATTCTAATCAGGATAAAAATAATTGAATTAATCTGAAACGCTTATTTGCTGGAAAAAAAATAATGTAAGCTTTAATCGAATGTTAATACGTTGATTTTTTCAGAAAATAAATCACCCCATCATTATGAAACCAGATATTAAGGATCGTGATTATATGTATAGGCTTATCATCGGGTAATACATCTGTTTTTGATTTTGCTTTTTTTTCTGGAATGATACTAGGATGCAGATAAACTGAAAGGTATTTGCAATAATATCATAATTTTGAAAAGCAGAGGACGTTTCGGATTTGTATTGCAAGTATTACAAACAACCAGTTATTACAAACAATTCACTAACTTCTTCAGTAGTTTTCATTCAGTCTAGGTCATGGGTCAGCAGTATTTCAATCATTTTGATATGTTTAGTAGTGTATAAGGAGATTTTTGCAAGTTTATTACAAGTTTCTAGTAGATCTGAGGACTCCAAATGATTCTTCTTTCTTTTTGTATTAATTATAAAATATTATTTTGTGTAGAAAATGGTAAAAATAAAGTGTTGCTTTTACAGACAGCTTTTCTACGATGGTCATCAACAGCTGGCGTTGAATTTAGCATCAGCGATTGGTTGTTCAGCGCAACCACCTCCTCCTTCTGATAAACTGTTTCGTTTGGTATCTATGGCTAAACAGTTTGTTGACGAACCTGAAACTAAGGATAAAGATAGCCTTATGCTGGTGATTTTAACATGCAAATACGTTTAGTTATATTTAAGCCAGATGTCCTTCATACTGTAGCAAGTAATTTTATTTACGAAAAATCATTTTATTTGTGTGATTTTACGATAGTTTTATATCTTTGACTGCTTTAACCGCTGTAAGAAGTGTTCAGTTTCAGATAGATATATCCTCTGGTCTTGATTTGGAATATGATGCAGATATTGAGCCTACATCGCCAGAACCAAGCATGTATGAAACTATTTACTTAACAGCCCATAAATCTCCTTGTCGTGCTTCGGCATTCACATCTGATGGTACATTCATTTTTTCAGGAATATGTAGAGAGTATTTTCATCAATATTTTGCATTTTGTCGTATATTTTTAATTCATATTTTTCTAACAGTGATTTGTCATTTCGTCTTCTAAAATGATTCAGATCTTTATCAGTTTCTTGTAACAAAATCAGTTTTTATGGTATATGCAGTGAGAATAAATGAGCAGAAATAATCATTTGTGTGACTGGCAATGAACTTAAATGATGGTCACAAAAGTAATGATTTCAAGTTAAATTTTCTTGCAGGTACTTTATTCGCAACAGGATCAGCAGATTGTTCAATTAAAATTATGGATGTCGAGAAAATTATCGCTCGCGAAATAAGGTACTTTTATTGATACTGTTTAGTACAACAAAGTAATTGGGAATATGAGAAAACTTTATAATATCAAGGATAAATATTTCAGAGGTGAAGTAAATTTAATGGAAAATGGACCTGATGCACAGCATCCAATTATAAGAACTCTTTATGATCATATAGATGTATGTTTTTAATATTGGTTAGCTCTCAGTATGATTCCAAAATAAAGTGTTTTCTATGTATTTAATTCAATAGAATTTTTCGAGCACTCTTCGTTTTTTGAACTCATCATAAAAACCTTCACTGTTTGCTTTATGTGCTCTTTGTTTTCTACTTCATTTGGTCATGTTATTTATTGGCAATATTTCAGGAAGTTAACTGCATTGCTTTTCATCCACGCGAACAAATTATTGTGTCTGGAGCTAATGATTTCACTGTAAAAATGTTTGATTTTTCAAAGACTGCGGTCAAGCGCGCAATGAAGACTATTTTTGTATGTTTGTTATCTAAATAATGTTTTGCTTTTTCTGATTTAAAAGTGATCGGTTGCATGACTAACATTCTTGTATTATTCCTCTAACCATTATATACATCATTATTCAGTTAATTTTCTGTCGTCGACCTGGTAGTTAATAAATGACTAATAGTTTATTTATTAATTGAATCTTTTTGTATTGTCGAGTAATACTTCAGAGAATTTTTTCACTTAGTTTTTGAATTTAGGAGGTTGAACCAATACGAGCCCTTTCATTTCATCCAGCTGGTGAGTTTTTGCTTGTTGCAACGAACCATCCAACTTTGCGATTATACAACATTGAAACTCAGCAATGTTACGTCTGTAGCGTTCCCACTGATCAGCATCGTGATACGGTTATGGACGTTAGTTTTAATCTGCACTTTTAAATTATTTCAAGGGAACTTCAGCTTCTCATTTAAATTTTATGTCCGTAAAATTTATAAATTTATTTTCCATTTGTGATTTGCTCAACAAATACAGATAAATCATTTTTATCTTCCCACAGGTAAGCTATTCTGAAAATGCTCGTTTATATGTAACGGGGTCAAAAGATGGAGATGTGAAAGTCTGGGATGGTATATCAAATCGCTGTGTCGAAACATTTCAGCGAGCCCATGATGGTGCTCAAATATGTAGTGCTTCTTTTACAAGAAACGGAAAGGTAATGTTTTTCATTCTTAACTTTTAATATTTCTTTGTTTATCTGAATTCTGATTTTGTTTTAAACTTAAATTATTTGTGTAATCTATGTATATATAATTGATGAAAACCGTACTATTGTTTAACCTCAGCTACTGTATCTATTTATCTTTATTTTTTCTCGGACAACAGGCATTCCATCTGCAGAACTTTTATAATACACTGTTACAGTATATTTTGACTAGTGGGTTAGATAGTATCGTTAAACTTTGGGAGTTGTCGACAAATAGATGCCTTATAGCATATACTGGAGCCGGGGCTACAGGCGCACAAGAATATCCTATTCATGCTGCATTTAATCATAACGAAGATTATGGTTCGTTTGCAATTCCGATATTCTTTTAAAGAAAAGCCAAAAAACTGCTTCATTAATTTCTTGTCATTGATGAATTTTTTAAATTTTTATTGCGATTTATTCTAGTACTGTTTCCCGATGAAAAGTCAGGTAGTCTTTGTTCATGGGATGCACGTAACTCTGATAGGAAACGATTACTTGCGCTCGGTAAGTTTGCCATCTCTGTTTATTACTGAGTAATGTCTTAGCATTCATTCATTTTTCTTATACAATAAATTCATGCAATGTTCAGGGCATACAGCAGCAACGAGAACATTTAAACACTCACCAACAATGCCTGCTTTCATTACTGGGAGTGATGACTTCAGAGCTCGATTTTGGTATAAAAAACTTGCATGATATCGATCATTAGTCTTATTCACTCGTTATATTAAATAGTTTATGAGAAAAATATACATCAAGAGACATTTTTGCAAGTCGATAATCCCCTAACTTAAAGAGATAAACACATGCTAAAGAATTTTCATCTTTGGCTATAGTTGAATGGATTTAAAAAGCTTTTTTATGATTTTCTTTACATTTTTTGAGCTGAAAATGTTTTTACAGTAAAAATCAGCTATGAATTTTTTTATTTCAACTAATATTCCTTTTTGCTTAGTTTCTGTATTATAGTTATTCTTTCATTTCAAAAAGTTTAGTGTACTGTGTTATCTGCTTATTTCCGTTAAATCTCTCTGTAATAACATTTAGAAATCTGTATGTGAGAAGTGCTTGTTGTTACGGGTATATGAATTTTCTTTCATCATATGCATTATTTCAGTAATATGCAAGTAATTCATTCATTCAGCTCATTCTGAATATCAAATACAGTACTTCAATAGTCTCTATATAATTATTGAATCAGTCTTTATGTGAAACAATGTGATAATATTCTTCTGTATTTGTCTTGAAATATACTTTTATGTCAAAAATCTCGTATTAAGAGTTAAGTGTAAAAATAATTACAAAAGTTTTTATTTTTTAAAAATTGTAATTTTTCGCAAAATCAAAACTTTTGAGTGCCCCAAGTTA